GATAAGCCCAACCCAAAAAAATCTCAACTTGAGCTACTTTTGTGAAGGTAAAACGCTGCTTTGGTTCCCCCAAGAGGTGTCCCTGGCACTGGGATAACCCCAAGACATGGAGTTCCCAAAGCTCCTGGCACCAGCAGGCTTAGGTTTGCAGAGGATGTTCCACAGGGAGGGATGCTCTGTAGGGATGCTGATTGCTGATGCTATTCCTGGTTAAACAAGAGCCAGAAAACAGGACCCCAGAGGGTGCTGAGCCTGGGCACTGGGGATTTGCTCCCTGCTCTGTGTGGGATGTGCCAGGGATGATGGCAGAGCAGGAACAGCCTCCATTTCTCACCACATCACTGCACACCAGCAGCACAGAAACACCAGCAAAGCCTTGGGAGTGAAATCCTGCCCTGCCAGGGGTACTGGGGAAACCAGAGGCGCAGAACCAGATCCCACAACCACGGGCCTGTGTGTAGTGAAACCTGATAATCTAATCACATCTGAGATGCTACAGGTCCTGTCCAGCCCAGCTCTGTGCCAGCCCCCTCCTGCCTGTCAGCCCTTCTCTCTCCACAGCTTTGTTTCTTGCAGCCTAATGACTCCTTAATGGGCTTTGTCCCATAGATCTTGATTTGCCCCAGGACGGTGGGAGGGGGCACTTTGGAGCTGTTGGGGTGGGAGCCAGCATGCAGAGCTTGCCTTGGCATGAGCAAAGGTTTCATCTGGTGTCTGAGCTGGAGCAACACTGCTCTTTTCCTGTTTGGAAAGATTGGAAAAGGCACAAAAGAGCCCTAAGCATCCCTCAGGGCATTGCTTTGGAGGGACAGTGATTTCCTCCTGCACTAAGCCCTGCAAAGCCTGGGCTGACAGTTTGAGTGCTGCTGCTGCCCCACATTTCCTGATGGATATTCCAGTCCAATATCCACGTCCCCAGGCCATGACCTCCTCAAGCCTCTTTGGAGGATGCTCCAAAGTGTCCCCACAACTGCTCAGTGCACCGAGTTCACTGTGTCTTGCAGTGACAAAGGGTACAAGTTACACAGCAACAGGCGAGATGGAGGCGGCCAGCAGCTGCTCCTGACTCAATTAATGACTTTTCCCTCTCATGTTCAGGAAAACACAGGCGTGTGCCACCTTTTATCCACATCCCTACCTAGCACCATCAGCCAGCAGCTGGCAGGCAGATCCTCACAGCATGAGGTGAAATGTGTTTGATGGATGGACCTTGTGAACCCACCTCCATCTCTTCCTCCTGTCACAGGACAGTGGTGCCCCTGTCCATGAGTGTCCCTATGGGAGTCAGACCCCCAAAATCCCACCAAATGGGAAATGCAAACAATAAACCCCAGAAGTGCATCTTCATGGTTTACTGTCCCTCAGGCACAGGGATTTCTGGTGTTAGTTGGAAGAATAACAAATAAAACATTTCCAGGGAGTGATTTGGAAGTTGACGGTGCTGCACAGGAATAACAACATATGGAAAAAGTGGGATCTGCCCAGGAATGACCCCCAAGCAGAAAATAAAAAGGGACAGTATGACACTCTGAGCAGTATGACACTCTGAGTAATGTCAGCAGCTGAATTACACCCCACCATTTCATGGGATTCCTATCTCCAGGGGAACTTTGGTCCAGTCTTCCCCAACCTCTGGGCACAGATGGATGTTGCAGACAGGTAGAGAAATTATAAAAGAAAGGCCTCATAAAATCAGGCCTGCTCTGTTAAATCGATAGCTAGCCTGTCATTTCTTCTAAGTGCAGCTAGTACTTTGCAAGTTCCCATATGAAAATAATCTGGGTATGAACAGTTTGTTAATGTAAAAACCTTTTTTGGGTGGAAAATAAGTGCACCTGCACTTATTAGATCTGTTCCCTAAGAACCCACAAAACAAAAATGTAAATAACTTGAACCTTAGCACATACACACAAATCACCTTTTGACCAACAAATGAAGTAGTAAGAAAACTACCAGGTAATAGAGGTTGCACAGGAGGTCTGTGAAAACTATAAAATAAGCTATGTGAATAAAAATTTGGTTTGTCCTGCATGAAGAAAATGGAACGCAAGTGATTTATTCCAATAGACAGATCTGGGGTTGGGATGTCCAGGATGCTGTTTCCCCTCCTGGCAGAACTTGTTTTTTCTTCCCAAACCTGAGGGCAGCTCTCAAGATGATTATAATAATTATAATGCTCTCAGGGCATTATGTGTCTCCTGAAGCCAATATACAACATTTACATACTTCCAAATTTTTAGCTTGGGGTGAAACCTGCTGCCACAGGAAGGAACTGGCAGCTCCAGTTGGGATTTGATGTTGCTGTTGTTTGAAATCAAGTGGAAAAAAGAGCCAAAATCACCAGAGTGGTGTGGCTGCCATAGAGCTCCCTGTGAGCTCTCTGTTGAGCCACATTTCTTAGACACCCAATTCCAGAGGGATCCGTGCCTCAGCAGAGGGAAGCTGTGTGCAGGTGAGCTGAGCTGCTGTGCTTCCTCATCTTCAATTTCCCAGCTGCTGTTACAGAATGGCAGGGATGTGAATGGGATGCAGCACAAACCCTCCACACTCAGCCCTGCTCCCACAGTCCATGTCCCAGAATTATCATTTAAATCCTGTTTCTCCAGCTCCAGAGCTCCTGAAGCCAGAATCCTGCTGTGAGGGCTCTGCAGGAGCTCTCACACTGGCCAAGCTGCACATTCCACTGTTTTCCTCCACTCCTCTGCTGTTTTCCTGTTATTTGCTCTCAGATGTTATCACCATCAAGCAATAGCTTTGCCATCCCTCACAAACAGGTATTATCCAGCATCTGGATGGGAATCACAAATTCAAACTGCTTCAAAAATCCTGTCAGCCACATTTTTCCAAGGTAATGAGTAACTGTAGTCCCTGCTCAAGTCCAGAGGACTCGAAATCAGACCAAAACTCACTTGTCACCACAGTGCTGGAGGGGTCTGGTATGAGCCTCAATTCACAGATGGGAACAGCCACTGAGAGGGAAAAGCTGAGCCTCATGGATGTGAAAGGCTGGAGTAAGACACATAAATATGGAGTGAATGGCCTTAAACAAAGCAGCCTGATTTTTCAGGATAGGAGCTGTGAGGGCTCCAGTGGGAGTGTGCAGGCTCGGGCACTCCCATGGGAATTTCCCAGTGGGTGGCCCAGGGGAGTGTGCACAGGTTGTCCCTGCTGCTCCTGCCTCCTGTTGCTTCCCAAGTGCTGCCGGAGGAATGCAAGGCTGGAGCTCACAGATGCTCTAAGGATGCACTGACGTGCAAAGAACCAACTCACAGGAACGAGTCCTGCCACTACCTCCAGCTCTGCATCTCCCCAGCACATTTCCTGCTCTCCCATCGAGGATGTTAAACCCAGGGACAATTTATGGAGACTCATTGAAGCACAGCTCTGTTTCTACACAGTTTGGAGTCCCAACATAATTATTTTCTCACCTCTTTTGCTTCTCTCTCTGGGACTCCCAGCAGAGATGGAAGCTAAGCCTGAAGTTGGAACGTTTATGCTCCACCAGACATGGCACAGAGAGATCCTGATCCTGCTGGGCCCCTGGAAACAGGAGCAGCACAATGGACAGCACCCTGTGGAAGTGGAGCAGCAGGACGAAACTACTCAGAGCAGGCTGAATACTATGTCCCTTGGAAACCACAGGGGGAATTTGGGAAGCAGACTGTAATTACCTGCCTTGGCCCATGCCAGAACACAGGCACAAGCTCCTGCTCAAACCCAGCTCCCCACAAAAGCGACCCTTGGAGTGGTGGCCAGGATCTCAGCAATGTGTGCTTGCTGAAAGACACCACCTTGGTGTCCCAGTGCTGCTCTTGGTGTTGCTCCTGCACTTTCCCAGGACATGAACATCACTTCAAGAGCTGCTCTGCAAATTCAAGTGTCCCTCAAAACTCCTGTCCCAGAAGGGGAGCAGCCAACCCTGTCGTACTGCCAGGGAGGAAGCTCGGCCACCATCCCTGTGGCGACAGTGCTGTCACACACCCCAAGACACAGCTCTGAGAAAGGGAAGCAGATTTAATTATGGAGACCATTGCACTTCCCAGAGGTGATGTCTGGAAGGAGCATGCACAGGTGAGCCAGGCAGCTTGGAGCTGGTGCAAGCTGGAGGCACCACGGGCTTGTAATAATGAGCATCCAGCAGAACCACACTGGGGGTTTGATGGAGATCCTACCTCAACTCTCATCTGGGAGAGGAGATGGCTCCATGCTGAGCCTCAATCCCATTGATGCTGGGAGACACAACCAACCCATCAGCCTTCAGAGCAGGGACTGTGCCCCAACACCCCGGGGCTGGGGACAGTCAGTGACACTGGCGGAACACCAAGGTGGGAGGCACAGTCCAGCACCCCTGGGCCAAAAGAGTTTAAGAGCTGGAAAGCAGCTGCTGCATACAGGGAAGGGGCACTGGCACCATGGTTCATCTCAGGTCACCGCTGGTCTAATGACAGCCAAGCAGAACCCTGGGCTGTCCCAGGAGCAGCAGCAGGTCTGAGGCAAAGGTGAGGGGCCTCACAAGTGCCCCAGCTCAGCCCCTATGTGCACAGGGGTGCGCAGTGAAAGAGGTGTGGGTAAGGCTAGCAGGGATCGGGGTGTCAAGAGTGAAGTACTTGGATTGAGGTGCCATGTGGGGATTGGGGTGTCAGGAGAGTCGTCAAGATTGGGATGCTGGCAGTGGGGTGTCATGAGCTAGGTGCTCAGACTGTGTTGGGAGCAGGGTGTTGGGAATGGCAGTGGGATGTTGGGAGCTGCCTGTGTGTGCACAGGTGTGAAGGGATGTGTGAGCGCTCATTCAGGCCAAGTCCTGCTTTGCCTTCTCTGTCCCACCACCCTGTCCCAGCTTTCCCAAGGGCTCCAGACCTGTCCCATCACCACTGCCAGGAGAGGTTTGGGGAGCAGAGGGAGATCCCAGCCTGCAGGCAGGTGTGAGAACAGAGGGACCACGGTACCCCCACACCACCAAGCCCGCTGTGGCCCGGCTCACCCGGGACGCCCCCTCGTACCTTGCAGTCCGTCAGGCAGGATCTGACCGAGTACTCTTCCGATTGCAAGTACTTCTCCAGCAAGAGGTCGAACTCCTCGTATTTTTCCTGAGCGTGTTGGTCCAGCCGCTGGTACGCCTGGACACAGCTGCTACAGGCCTCCCCGTCCAGCGCCCCGGCCGCCGCCACCACCAGGTCCACCATCAGGTTGTCCAGGCTGCAGTCCAGGCCGTCGGGGCCGGCCATCTCCCGCAGCAGGTCCCAGATCGTGTAAGTATCACAAAAGGAGAGGTTGAAGTTCCTGAAGTAAGCCTGCAGGAAGGTCCTTTTGGAGGAGGGCGAGGCGAAGAAGGGCGCGGCG